AATCCTTTTCATTGTCTAGTATAATGAGGGCATATCTCAGCACCTATTATATGTGTACGTGTCAATTGAAATGGTCACTTGTTTGTATAAAGTTTCTCGGGAATTTGAGCTTTTCGTGAATTTGTCACAGGAAGATCTTTTTGGTTCACCCATCTCAGTATGACTTTCATATCCACCTAGATCATGTCCCAGTGTGTAACTCACTTTGTTCCTAGAATTGTAGTTACCCATGAAGTGGCCTGGTATTGTAGCTGGAGAATTATTATGGCAGGAACATGTCTAGCTCATAGCAAAGTGTACATTCTCTCTAACCATTACATGATTTCATCCAACCATTAAGATGTCCTATCTACATGATTTCACTCGTGTGTGGTTGAAAGTTAAACAGCTTTATGATGAGCATATTGATTTGAAAGACAAGTTTGTTGTATCTCTAGTCCTCTCATATAGGATCAACTATTGCGAAGGGTTAGTCAGAATGATAATAATATCACAAGTGCTCAACTTATTTTTCATCCTCTTGGGCTTGGGGCATAGATTCCTTGTGCTAGTTAATGTTACGAGCATAATACAACTTCATGTATTTTGAAACTCATATCACATTCAGGTTGCTAGAATATTCTCATTCCGAGTTAAACGGATTTTTCCTACACTCCAGGAGACGATTGGTGTCATGTGCTTAACTATTTCTCTTTGAGGCCTACTATTGCCGAACAAGGCACATATGAAATGAAACAATTATTGTTGTCCTTTTCATGACTCATTTCTTTTAAATCACAGAATCATGAACATTTTCCCTACATTATCAATGCCTACTAGGTAACTCTATGCCTCATTTGTCGAATCAATGATGTCATCACAATGATTAACCATGTCAGCACTATGGGTAGTAACATTCATATCTCTTAGGATATAACCTCCTGAGATGCTTTGCTCAGCACATTGATGGAATCTTGAAAATAATTCCAGCCCAATCTCGAACCTCATTGTTCATATTTATAGTAACCTATGGGGGTTGAAGGGTCAAACATGTCAAAGAAGAAGCGTTATCCAGTGAAGAAACATATTAGATAGGAAGTTTTATGGTAATATTAAAGCTAGCACATCTTAGAGTAATTGTTGGAGGTCGCCAAAGGTTTAGTTTGGAAATTCGGCGAAGTGATTTAGAGTTGAAGAAAGTGAACGGGTTATTCTCAAGATTTTCTCTATAAATATATTAGGTGAATTGTTAAGGAAGGTAAGGTATGTGTAGTCACATTAGGCCTTATGAAATTTTGAAAGGAAATAGGCCAAACTATGAGTATGATGTTTCCCTATTATTGTTCTTCGTGTACCCGATGTTTCATGTGTCTATGTCTAAGAAGGTGAAGTTAATGGATAATTGGAATATGAGGAGCAACTATTTGCTATCCTTGTTAGATAAGTCCGGAAGTTAAGATTGCCTCCGTCAAGTGCTATGATCTCCGTCAAGTTCAGGAGATCATCTCGTAGGCCGAAAGTGTTGAGGAAAGGAAATATTCTCACTTGTTTGTAGAGCCAAATCGTTGTGGTTCAAAAATGTACCTTCTATGTATTATGGTTTAAATGTGTACATTTCATGTAAAGATACCACTTTGGTTAATGTAATGCCCTAATATTGAGATAGGTGGTGTTGATATATACTGTGATGCGTTGTTGAGTAATGGATATATTGTTAGGATTGATTTCTGAGATTCTCTGACAGGTGGATATGCCCAGTTACAGGAGAAACTGTGTCGAAATTTTTAAGAATTTGTAAAGATAGCCAAATCTTAAGGTCCATAAGTAAGTTGAAATTTTGAAAAGGATGTATAAGACCGATGTAGTTATAAGTGCCTATGTATAATGGTTGGAGGTAAAATGATGGTAAATCTATTCTTATAAGGGACTTGTAAAATATTCTAGGACGAATATTCTTAAGTGGGGGAGAATGTAACACCCTGGAAAATTTTGAAGTACTTAAGCGCTATTAAGAAAGTCGATGTGCGCTAATTATATTATTTTATATATAGACAAGGACTATTATATGAATGATATCAATTGATCATGATAATATATGTATGAGGTGCATTAAGAATGGTTTATGGTCTAAGAAGAGCCCCATGGCTAAGTCAAGTTGAAATATTTATGATGGAATAAAGTTTCAAGTGAGTTCGCACAAGACCTAACTTCAAACGATCATAACTATTTTGATAGGAAGAGTTATATGGTGTATTACCTATCAAATTAAAACACTTTGAGTCAACTTTTCCACGCTTTAAACCGTTTGTCATTTGGACATTCCTACAAGACGTTATGACCAAATTACCAAAGGCTGCTAGAATGAAATTCTGCGACCATTATGCGATCGCAAAATGATTATGCGACCGCAAACTAGTCGCGGAATGGACCAGAACAGCCCAGTTCTGGGCATCAAATTGTGCGACCATTGTGCGACCCGCACACCAATTGTGCGGTCCATTGTGCGACCATTGTGCGACCCGCACACCAATTGTGCGGTCCATTGTGCGAACGCATAGTTGAATTCGGAGGGTTAATTTTTCTCTTTTCATAACCCGACACCATTTTGATAAATAGGCTTTGGGGCTTATTTTGGGATATTTTTCTGAGGGTTTTAGAGAGAGGTAAGAGCATTTTAGATAGAGAAGGAGAGAACCTAACATTATAATCATCCAATCTTGCACTAATCTTCAAGCATCAAGGAAGCTAATCACAAGATCTTCATCTCAGAGGTAAGGTTCCATACCCTAGTTTCCAATTTCGAATTTGGGTAAAAGATGGTTGATTTGGAGTATGATTCTTGGGTATAAGAGCATTATTTATACATGCTTGTACTAATAAGGTTTGTGGGAAGATTGTTTAGCAAAAATAAGTAAATATTGGGTTGTGAAGTGAAGGAAATCTTGTAGAAGAACCTTGTAGTTAGATTTACACACCTAGTGTTTGATAAAATGCTCAAATGAGCTGAGATCGTGAATATTTTCCTAATAATGGTTCAATTTTGTTATGTCTCAAAATAAATTAGAATTGCTAGAATTTTCGGAACATTATAGTAATTTAAGGAAAGCTCAAAGCAAGGTATGTTGGCTAAACTTTCTCTCTTGGAATTGAATTCCATAATATTTTCGTAAGTTTCAAAGTATGGGCTGCGTATTAAAAGGTTATGGCTTTGAGTCGTTTTTCAATAAAAGATAGTATGCCAAATTATGTGAGTAAATCTCAATATTCTTAAGACTCTTAATTGCTCATATGTGTACCTAAAGTCTTGATTTGGAAATGTCTTATTGTTGATAATCTATAAAGATGGTTGGAAGTGAAATAAATTAATTGGGGATATAGAGTGTGGCCAAAGTGCCAAGAATTTAAGTTATGATTATGGCTAGTAGTGCAAATGATTTGAGAAGATGCGATAAAGAATATGAAATGAGCCTCGACTCAATTGTTTAAACAAATAGCTTCCAAGATAGAATTGCCTAAAAGCAAAGTACTCAATTCATGCCCATTAGTGATTGCTTTAACTAATGCTTTGCTTTATAAATATATCTAGTGTGATTCGAGTTCTATATACTCATGTGGTGAAATTGTATATTGTCAATTCTGGGGAAGAGTATTGCAAGAGTAAATGGTGTATTGACTGTTTATGATTTTTCATGTGTATTTCTATTGTTGGTCAGTATGCCCCATTCTTTGATAAGAAACCATTTGTGTTTGAAGTTCCCATTTCAAATGGATTGGAAGTATATGATTTCTGAAATTTTCTATATGTTGATATTTGATGGTGATCTTTGAAATTGAAAGAGGTGAAAGTGTGGAATATAAAATACGGCAATCGTGCCAGGAATAAAGAATCTTTTGAATGGCCTAATGTGCCAAGGAAATATTGTCATTTTGAATGACTGAAAATACTAATGAGAATTTATACAATGTGAAAGATGTTGAGGTGAGTACAATTGTATTTATGATATTTCTGTTTGCAAATCAAATCAAAAATATTTTTGGGAGCATCATTAGCAATACTAAGGAAGGGTGGGTCATAAGGCCTACACCTGAAACTACACGTGCTGGTGTAGGGGTGGATTGGGATTATTTCGCTTATTTGGGATGAAATTGGAACCTTTGGGAAATTGTGATATTATTCTCCTTAATTGGGATGAAACTGAAACCTTTGTGGATTGGAAAAGTCAACTTGCATGGCATATGTGGGAAGGCAGCCTAGCTGATCGGGTGGAGATCAGACGCTATGTTGCACACATGGTGGTACTACTCTTGGTAACAACTTTCTTTCGCATCACCTGTCAAATCACATTGTCCGTGGGGAGATGGCCTAGCCGATCGGGCGTGATCAGACTCTGTGCTAACCAAGACGGTGGTATATCGGTGCTAATGATCTCCCAACTAAAATTATATATGATGTTCGTATTTTGAAGATTATTATATTTTAACTGAACATTTGGATATTGTTGATTATGACTTGCTGTTTCTATGTATTGCCTTTTTTTATATGGGCATTCTATTTTGAAAGAGGACTTTTAGCTATACATACTAGTGCTATTTGACAGTACTAACGCCCCTTTTGCCGAGGGCGCTGCATCTTTAATGGATGAAGGTGGTTCTACAACAGGCGGCATTGATCAGTTATAGTAGTATACTCTTTTCAGCTGATTTGATGAGCCTCACTTCATTTCGGGGTCATGTATCTTTTGTTTCTCATGTACTGTATTTTGAGATATAGCCGGAGCCTTGTTGCCGGCATTTTTATATTACTCTTCTATTGTATTTAGAGGCTCCGTAGACAGGTTGTGGATGTGGTTGGTGTTGGGGAATTGAACTAGAAATGTTGGTATTTGGAAATCATGTTTTTCATTAATTCTATAAACTCGTAATATTTTGGAAATTATGAATGAAGCTGCTAATGTGAATAAAAAGGAAGTTGTTAATAAAATCTTTTTAGTGTTTTATTAATGAAGTACATCTCCTCTTTATTCATGGATGAGTTTGGGTAGAAGAAAATCTAACAGGCTTGCTCGGCCGGGTTCTCTCGGTTGAGCGCCGGTCGTGCTCCCCGAGTTTGGGGCGTGATAGCCACCTTCCTATTCAATTGCTCAAACTCATCCACATCAAAAGAGCAATGTGAGGAAAAATAAGAACCACACAATCCAGAAGTATGATGACTGAGACTAAACTCTGATCCAAGGCCGTAGACTCTCCCCTTATGCACGCCACCAACCGCCTTAATCCACATGTCCATGAGCTCCTCTTGGGTTGGTTGGATTGGCCTACCTTGATCATCAATCGACGGACTTTGAATGAACTCCTCCAAGATTTGATTGAAATTATTCTGTAAAAATATTACAATTATTAGAAAAGTAAATTTTATTAAAGAAAATTATACAAGTAAGTATCTTTATTTCTCAAACTTTAACGTAAACATGAGAATAAGTATTATGCTGTATTTAAATAACTAAGCAACATTTAATGCATAGAACAAGTAATTCTTGAGGAAGTTATTAATAATTGTATCACATTACTTATTATTTTTGAAATATTTGAGTTGAAATTCAACATATTTAGTTACTTACATGGTGTGAATTTTGGTCAGGATTTTGATAGTAAAGCTTACTTTATACACTTTTCACTAAGGGCAACTGCACAAGCAATAAAGACCTAAGGCTTCTGTTTCAATGACAAACCAAAAACAAAAAGTAATCTGACATAACTCCACTTTTCTCCATAGTTTGATCTATGTCTTTTTCTACCTGCATATAGGGATGTAAATGTGGCAGGGATGTAAAATAATCTGACATAATTCAACTTCACTCTGACTTTGAAAACTTTTGCTCGTTTGCGGACATCAACAAAAAAAAGTTCATATCCAAACATGGCTTAAGAACAGTAATTGGAGATTCCATATCTTATGCTAATTCTTGTAGAGATAGAATCATATTCTCGTTGAGGAATGTGACAATGAATAGTATTGGTCATTCTCCTTTAGTATTAGCAGTGATATATTCTTGAAATCGAAAAAAACAAAGAGGAAAGTAAACAAAAACAATAAGAAGAGGGGAAACCATTTTTAATACAGTATGCCACGATAAGAAAGGGGAGCTTTGCAAGTTGAAAATATTTAATATTTCAGTTGCTTTTCAAGACATTTCAATCAAATATGAACAGATTAGAAGGAGATGTACAGAATTAGCATAAGCCTTAGTCTTTGTACGTTAATTGCTTCCTTTGAATGCGGTTACATTACAAACGTCGCATATGACTTACACTTGAGGGAGTACTATTTTATTGGTCAAATAAAAATTGATTCGCTATTAGAGCACCTCCCAATGTTATGGTCATCGGGTATGTCAATATAATAAGATGACGAAGCAGAATTATACGAGCAAGTATATGTATCCAGCAATAGTTACAAGCACATGTATCCAGCAATACTGAAAAACTTCAAATCATAATCCAATATCATTATAGCATCGCTAACCGAAATGGTAAATCTCGTTGATGCATTACTACTAGAAATCCGAATCTCGTTGAAGCACCAGAAATATCGTTGACGCATTACTACTAGAAACCAAACTCAACATTCAATCCTAAATTTTTTAATTTTTAGGATGCATTAATTTTTTAAACCTAGGGTTTGAAACAGTATAAAATCCCTAAAATTCGAAATTTTTTGGCGAAAATCAAAAACGAAAAAAGGAGATCGATCGGGTGAGAGAGAGAGAGGTCGATTTACCTGGGAATAGAATGAAAACTCTCTGTTCATGAAGTGAGAGAGACGACAGAGGGGGCCTAAGGGAAAACCCATTTCTAAATAGACCAAGTTAAAACCTTATGTGAATGAATATATTAAGAGAAATGTTATAGAACGTTAATAATAATAAGTTTCCCACTACTACCGTGTGAAAGTTCTGTGGGAAATATTTTCTATAATTATAAAAAAAATAAAAATTTTAAAAAATTTATACACACTGAGTCTGTGTGAATATTTTAAAACTTTTTTTTATTTATTGTTTAAGTTCCCACTATCTTCTCTGGGAATTTGTTTTTACTTCTATATAATTATTTTTTAATAAATTTTCCCACTGAACCAGAGGGAACTAAAATACGCGCATTTTTGCACCAAAAATTTTCCACGGATAGTCAATGGGAAATGTTATTTATTTTTTCTGGAACGGATATTTTAATTTTCCCATTGCATTTCGGTGGGAATTGCCACTAACAATTTTTTCGTGGGAAATTTCGGTGGGAAAATGCTATGGTTACACAGCTTTATAAATAGCTGTAAATACTGTGAACATAAATGCATGACAAAACTCAAATCTTTAATTACATGACCCACAATATACATGAAGCTTCTATGACAATAGATACCTAAATATATAAAATGAACTAGACCCAAACACCCACTAGAACTGTAGAGGGCTCACCATAAGCTGAGTAGTGAAGAAAAGCCCTATCAAAGATCCATATCATCCTGTAGAAGTATACCTGCATCCATTAAAAGATGCAGCGCCCCGGGCAAAAGGGACGTGAGTATATGTGGAATAGTACTCATATGTAAGGCAGTCAAAACAACATATAAAAATGCGGTAACTCAAACAAAAGGCAAATAAAGTACATCAAGAAACTACGAAACATCTCATAGGATCACATTTCAAGTCTTATTATACTTGCATCATTCTAAACTTCCTTTAGGATCAACTGAGTTATATGAACTATACGTGGAATACATAATATAATGTAATTGTAATAACATGTACAAACAAGGCCAATGGAAGTGGCACCTTCCTCCCTTATTTTACACATATAAATTTCATAAACTGTCCTTAGTGTTCACATATAATATTATACACCTATGCGTCTCATACACCGTTCACAGTATCACCTATACAATACACATGTATTTTTCGTAGACCGTTCATAGTGTTCACTTATACAATACAAATACTCATATTCAAGTGCTTGAAAATACAACATGAATATGATGAATCATGGTAATAGTAAAAGGGCTTAGATAGCCGTTAACGTCAAGCAAATTTATTAAGAGCTCACATTCAAATTTATAGATATTAAGTCGGGGATTCTCTATAACCACATTCACACAAAGCGGCCCTGCCACCTCACCCCAATATATGCGGGTGAAGGTGTATCACGATACCACAATCTCTACAAAAAGCGGCCCTGCCGCCTCACCCCAATATATGCTGGTGGAGGTGTACCACAATACCACAATCCCTACACAAAGAGGCTCTGCCACTTCAGCCCAATATATGTGGGTGGAGGTGTATCACAATACCACAATCCCTACACAAAGAGGCTCTGCCACTTCAGCCCAATATATGTGGGTGGAGGTGTATCACAATACCACAATCCCTACACAAAGCGGTCCTGCCGCCTCACCCAATATATGCGGGTGGAGGTGTATCACAATACCACAATCCCTACACAAAGCGGCCTTGCCGTCTCACCCCAATGTATGTGGGTAGAGGTGTAATCCCAATCACAATACCATATATGAACTCAAAACAACATAGTTATCATTACATTTAAGGTCGTAATTTCTCATATCATTTGAATACTTCATGTTCATGCTCATCATGGAGAAACACAACTCATTACATTAGCACATGCATGGTAAATCAATAAGTCAATTTCAATGGTACATGGGCCAAATTTCTTTTCTTAAGCTTCATCATCATTTAGTATAGGACATCTCCCTTTCATCTCGTTATTCACTCACGTGACATCTTGAGGCCATTAGCTAAGTTCATGGCTCTGGGGGACTTAACGTCGAAGTCATTTACATTAATTATTTTAGTAGCATACATACTATGATTGAAACCATATGGACATACAACACCTCATAATTCTCATTTTGGCAAACGGGCACATTTCATGTTCATACCATCACTTACTTGTACTTGCCATGGGTGATGATAGGACATCAAGAACATTTAAAATATCCATAGCCTCTCCTCATGAGGACGTAGGAGCTTATAACACATTGAAAACATAAGTACAAATACGTTCATCTCATAACCTTTCACACCATATATCACTTCACAATTACTTTCAACTACTTACAATATCATTATTTCATTGGCTCCCTTGGCCATACATATTATTCTTTATTTATATCACTGTGGTCGTATATCATATTTCGCACTTTTATTTCTTTACTTTCAAGGATTATCATCATAAACATCATCATATAGAATACTCTTGAAATACCTTTCCCCAAAAAGGGCAATACACAATTTCAATTCATGAATATGTAAGAACTCAAAACATATTGGAAATACCTACCAAGCATAGCATTAGTTAAAACAACCACATTTGAACATGACTTGAGTACATAAGATTTTGGATAATTCTATTTTTGGAATCAATTTGGAATAGTTGAATCAAGGTTTATTTCATAATATTTCACAAATCATTTCACATCGTTGGCGCTATTGGCCACAAGTATAACTTTCATTCTTGGCACGGTATTCACACTTTATATCCCCAACTCACTACTTTTACTTTCAAGTATCTATATAGATTATCGACAACAAGGAATCCCTAATCACGACTTTTAGTACACCTATGAGCAATTAAGAGTCTTATGCACATTGAGACTTCTTACACAATTTGGCATAATAGCCTTCACTTGAAACACTACTTGGAATCATAATATTTTTATACCCAACTCATGCTTTGAACACATTCCCGAAGGATAACATCATATGATAAGAGCATCCGGAATACATTTTGAACATATACCTTTCAACACAAAGCTTATTCAGAATAGTTAATTTATAAAGAATAACTCGGGACTCACAAGAACATCATGGGATTCAATTCTAGGAAAGAAGTTTAGCCAACATACCTCGCTTTGAGCTTTTCTTAAATTACTACAACGTTCCGTAAATTCTAGCAATCTCAATCTATTTTGAGACATAACAAAATTGAACCATAATTAGGAAGATATTCATGGTCTCAGCTTATTTGAGCATTTTATCAAACACTAGATGTGCAAATTTAACTACAAGGTTCTTCTACAAGATTTCTTTAACTCCTCAACCCAATCTTTACCCATTTGAGCTCAACAATTTTCCCACAAACCTTAGTTGTACATACATGTGTACATAATACTCTTACACCCAAGAACCATACTCCCTGTTATTTATCTTTTACAACAAACTCGAAATTAAAACTAGGGTATGGAACCTTACCTCTTAGATGAAATCTTGTGATTGGCTTCCTTGATTCTTGAAGATTGGTGCAAGATTGGATGATTAGAATGTTAGGTTTCCTCCTTATCTCTCTAAAGTGCTCTTACCTCTCTCTAAAACCCTCAGAAAGTCATCCCAAAATAAGCCCCAAAGGTTATTTATCAAAATGGGGTCGGGTTATAAAAATAGAAAAATTAACCCTTCGAATGTAGGTCTGCAGTCACACAATGGACCGAACAATGGGTATGCGGGTCGCACAATGGACCAAAAAACCGATGCCTACAACTGGGATGCACTGGTCAAGTCTGCGACCATTTTGCGGTCGCAGAATCAGTTTTACGGTTCACATAATGATTTTGCGGTCGCACATTTGACCGCAGAATCACATTCTTCCAGCCTTTGGTAATTTTGTTATAACTTCTTGTAGGAGTGTCCAAATGAAGATCGGTTTAAAGCGTTAGAAACTAGGCTCAAAGGGTTTTAATTTGATAGGTAGATCACCTCCTAAGTAGTTATAGTTTGGTAGCAAAATACATTTAAAGTAGGATCTTGTGCGAATTGAGACATCCTTTCCATTTAATGTATCCAATTTGTTCCACACAAATTCTTGTCATTCACAAAACTCCTTAGTATGTTCCAATACACCTTAAAAATATTTTTTCATTTCAAAATAATGTGGTTCTATCCCATGGGTCTCCTTTAATACTCAAACACGTTATTTCCAAACACCGTTGGTGCACTTTAAAATCTTAAATTATTAGAAAATTTTAACTAGGCCTTACATTAATATTATTGTTCACATACTCTATGTCTATTTAGCATTCCTGTATTTTATTGTTAGACCATAATAAGTGTCGATGTAGACCCCTCGTCACAACTTCTTCAAGGTTAGACTGGATACATGTTATTGATGTACTCACGCTACACTTCTGCACTAATCGTGCAGGATCTGAGGCAGGTGCATCTGGTAGTCTTATCGGCGCGCACCCCCGATACCCCGAGGCCTAGTGGTGAGCTACTCTTCTGAGTCTGTTCGACAGCACCCATAGCCTCTCTTTTGCATTACTTTCTGTCTACTCTATTTCATACAGTAGTTTAGTATTTTTTGTATATACTACTAGTGGCTCATACACTTGTGACACCAGGTCCTGAAAATTATGCTAGTAGACATTTGATGGCTTTTGATTATTTACTTCACCACACTTGTTCTTATATTAGTTTACACTTTATTTTATTAAAATTTTCACCTCTTACTTACTTAACAAATAAAAATCAACTATTTCAAAATTGTTAAAAGGAATAAACACATGGCTAGTTCCCCGTTGGCTTGCCTAGCGGCGACGTTGGGCGCCATCACGGCCTATAGGTGAAATTGGATCGTGACAGTATCAGTCTAGCTTATTGATAAGTTCGAAAAAAACTCTACTTGAAGCTATTTATTTTTTTTACCTACAAACATGTGCTCGAAAATCAAAATACTTATATCAATTTAAATTGAAATTGGGAGCCAAATAAAATAAATGAAAAGATAAAGAAATAAAAGGAAGAAGGAGGAAAAAAGGAGAAGTGTCACGACCCCAAGTTCCCTCTATAGGATATCGTGAC